TGCTACAGCCGGCAGCCCTGTCAGATTGGGCCTGAAAGGGTGGTTCCAGTCGTCGAGTAGGCTGATCAGTCGTTCCCGGGATAATTCCAATGCCTGTTCGAAAAAGCGCAGCCGGGATAACTGTTTGTCATGGCGATCCTGAAGACCATCTCTCTCTTTTCTCAGGTGCGTGCCAACCTCCTTCAAAGCAAGGTTGCGCTGCTCTAGTTTCTCGCCATCAATGTGCTTGGACACCCACGACTCCCATAGGCGTCGATAGAGTCCAACAAGTCGAGCTGCTGGAAAGGCGAACTCGGGATCGTCGCGTTCGAGGTCTGCTAGCACCTTCAAGATGGGTTGAAAGAGCAAAGTGGCCAAGGTACTGTATATCTTGTTTCTGCTTCCTGCTGTGAAAGGGAGAACTGCGATAGTCAGCCAAAATATTTGAAGCCGAATCGTTTCACTTACCAACGGGGGGACATGCTGAGAATTTTCCTGTAATTTGTCTATCTCGCTAAGGATTGGCAATTCACTGGGCTACTGTTCTGTTTCATTTTCCTGGTCTGGCGAGCTGTTCGGGGCATCCATTTTGTCCGCAGGAGAATGTCAAGATCTGGGCAGTACCGTTTCCATCAGGCCTTGGTGTCTCTTGTAGAATATGCAAACGGAGGTGGTTATGGACTGGGTTTTACGATCACCACATTGGTCAATAAACGCAGTTAGCTTTTGATCACTACACATCTGCGGCCGAACGGGATTTCTTCTAAAAGCGACTCTGTTCAATGGCACCCGTCGTGAACTATCTGTGCTCAATGTCGACGTATGCGGAACAGAAGACGGTTCGCCAGTTGCTTGGATCCAGGTTGTTACGCCAACCATACAATGAGGTATAGGGAATGTGGAGGAGGTGCCTATGCACCACCGGAGCTGTCTGTTGATACATCACCTCGCTTACCTGCTTGCATAAGCACGAGGAGATCCCCTAAGAAAGGAGGGGCTGGATCCTCTTAGGAGGACCAGCGATTAGTCTGAATATCATCATACCCATATCAGGCACATCTCACATTCCCCACTCGTATCCATATCGTATCAGGACACCCCCAGGGGGCTGTTCTAACAGGAAACTGATCAAGCCTCACGATGTTGAGGGCCAGAGATGAACGCTTGTTGAGGATATATATTTCAATCAGACACCTCTTTCCCTTTCGTTGAACGCCTCAGAAATCTGACAATGGAATATAGTAGAACTTATCGTCATTAAACAAAGAAAATCAGAAGAAAAAACATTTTTTTTTATTTAATGTATTTTAATGGTCACAAGTTCGAAAATTGAGTGTTGACAACGTTGGGCTAAGCTTCAACGGGTTGACGGGTCGAGCACATCCTATTGTGACCTCGCTTTCCGCAGTCTGGTCGGACAGACCCACAGCTCAACACAACCAACACCACACTAAAGCGAGGCTAGGAAAAAAAGTCCATGATTTCTAGGGATAAAATCGAAGGCGCTTTTCGGTGAATCAGTGAATCAACGTTGGGTCGCTCACAGATGAGATGATCACAACACAAATATGAGCCTGTCATTGCAGATTGAATAGCAACCAGTTCCTCAATTTTAGAGAGTCGTGAAGGATTCAACAGTCAGCCAACGTTTCTTGACCAACTCAGCATCCTGTTCTTCAACACGACTCTTGCTCATCTCTCTCGCTGAGCATCTAAAGGCATCAAACTGTGCAAATAGACGCTGTAAAGAGAAGCCACGAGTTTCAACAGGTCTCAAACAAGAGAGGTGTCCTTAACGCGTTCTACCAAGCAGAGCGCTTGCGCAACAGAAGGAGCCGAGAAGCCTATAAATACGTCCTCTACCCCCGGCAATTTGCTCTACATTTTATTCGCTTGACTCTGCAAAATCGAGCAGGCTTGTGTCTGAGCCACTCGATAAGTTCTTCCCCACCCAGTACTGAATCTCCACTGTGCTGACAGTTATAGAATACATTGCGGACCAGCAAGTCAGACAGTGCCTGCGAAAGATATGATTCCCACCAGATGCACTACCATTCACGCCAGCCGATCAAAGGTACGAGTTTTGGTTTAGCTGGTCAAAGTGTCTATGCAAAGATGTCTCCGCTATAGCAGCCGACTGAGCTGATCTACTGTACAGCCTCTATGTGTATTCCCAAGAGAAAGCGCGAATATCCCCGTCGCAGGTATGTTAATCTTAGCCTGACCTGTCTGAATTCTACTGATCCGGAAGACGATGCGATTTCAATAGAACCGAGGACATTCGACTAAAATGCACGAGCGCAAGGATCATAGCTCTTTGCTGTCTCTTCGTCCCTGGTCCACCAGAACAGATGAGTCCTGAAATGTCTCTCCGATCTACAAGCTAATGAACGACAGTGACCCTTGAGGATTAAGCATCCCAGTCAGTGCTCCGCGCAAAGCCACGGCTTACACACTATTCCCGGCCCGGTCGCTTCAAACCACACAGCATACCTTAGGTGAGGTATATAAATCAAAGGAGCGGGCTGAAACAGGTACGGACATCCGATTGCGAGCTTCGCTGCATAGAAGCTTGAGACGTCCATTCTTGTGCCCCAGAACACGAATACCATTACTGGATTCATGCCATTGTACATAGGAGCAGCCCATCGCCACCCGTGAAACATCCTTGTGGGGAGTCCTTTTATCGTCGGATCCAGATAAGACCAAGGCGTCACTACGACGCGTGCTCCATCGCGTCTTCCGCCCTCGACCTCACCGCCTTCACACCACGATGGGGGTGTTCGCCGTCCCCATGGCGAGGTCTTATCCCATTACGATGTACAATTTGTCACAGGTGGGTTCGTCACGTGCCTTTGGGGCTCAGAAGTTGCCCCGTGCATCCAGCGCGGCTTCTTCGAAGTGACAGCCGGAGAGTGCGACGAACTGGATACAACATCATGTCAACATAGCATGAATGGTGACTGCATTGATGAAGACAATTGTAAGTGATCTCGTCGGTAAGATATGACCACGAAGCTAATTGATCGTCTCGTCTCAAGCGAACATTTTGCGAACATCATAAACAGGTAAGTCATAAGAACTCGTCCAACTGGTTCAAGCCTTGCTGACTCGGGTCGTACAACAGGAGACCCCCTCATATTCCCGTCACTCCAGTAGAATGCGAAGCGAGCAAATGTCTTGTCTGCTCGGGTCCCCTATACCGATGCGATCGCATGCTGTCTATCACTTCCACATGACTGCTAGTAACATTGACGATGAGTCACCGAAAGGTTCATATCGTCTACCTTGGCCCTTCTCTCAGTCGACTCTGTGCATCAGGTCATGTGCTGATGTGTCTATCCGATACAAAGCCCAAGCCACAATGGGTTTATACCACCGTGTCTCGGCATTCGAACACCGCGAAGGAATAGCCTCCTTGTGGATTGGATTCCTGGCGTCCAATGAGTGATCCTCATTGTCCTCAGTTGGCATCTCGCTTCTTTTCAATTTTGGAATTCCGAAAGACCCGAGGAATGTTGGTGGTTTTGTCTTGATTCATGGCAGGTGAGCCATACCTTCACAAACGGCCAGACTATTAGTCCAAGTCTGCGTGCAATAAGAAGGTGAGGTAAAGGTCCCGTCATATCGAGCCCACAGATTAACATTGCCATATCAGCTACGAACCGAGAAAAGGAGATGGTCTGGTGCCGAGTCATAGCCGAGCCAACTAATGAGCCACGAGCTACGAATCACCGACCCATACTGTCCTACCTGATCCTACTCCGCGTTGCTGGGCCGTTCGACGTATACGAGCGAGCGGGAAGGGACCAACCGGACATACACGACGCTGCATCGAGGGCGCTGTCTGAAATCTTGTGGTGTCTTTGAACAGATGTTGGGCAGATTTGATGCCTAAGCACGCTCTTTTCTATCCAAGACCGAGCAACATGTGAAAAGGGCATTTACCCTGGAAGTCACTGCAGCTGCAGGTTAGTCAAGCTGACCGCTTGTATTCTTTGTCCATTGACGTCGTTTTCTAACGAATCGCGCGCAAGCAGCTCTTGCTAGGAATGGCCGGATTCTCTTCGTCCCCTACGTCGAATGTCCTGGGGCATCAACTATTTGTTAGACACACCGCGCTCTGGACGATATTTGGCATATCACTGTTCGGACAGATTCACTGTGAAGGTGGCATTGATGTCCCTAACAAGGCCACCCAGAGCCGTCCTGCTGTGGTACCTCTTTGACTATCTCCTACAACCTTCACTGAAATCTCCACCCCTAATCAGCGCTCATGCCATGTTTGCCTTTGGAGGAATGGGTTAGGCGCATGTCTGCTGCGATTACAAGTCAACTAAAGTACCAATTGCGATGATCTCACGAAAGTTCGTCGTAAATGATGGCGGAGATATATTTACCAGATGTGGTCAAGATGGCGCTTACTAGACCCCCATCGGGCTTCAACCGTGTTCCCTCGGCAGCAGAGTATGCTTAATCCCATGAATTCGGGTACTACGCCCCAAACAATGGCCGTCGCTTTGGTCTGTTTTAGTGGCTAATGCTCACCATCTTCTCCTTTGTTTTCTAGAAAGCGATGAGATCCTCAGAAGCGACTTTCTTTCATAAACTAAATTGGCGAGTGTGGGAAATTCTCTTTGAGCTTACTGGTATCCATCTGATAGTGGTTACATTATTGTCACGTACTATATTGCAGAAATAGTGCCTGTAAAGTGTTTACAAGTTATTCATACACTGCCAATGGCAAGGTGCCCGAGGATGCAAAGCAAGTTGCCGAAGCTGTCAAAATTGTGGTGTGATTCCTGGTGATCTGTAGTATTGCTGTACATGGACTCTCCATTCCCGTTGGCAAGGCTGGCTATCACCTTCCACGCACCATATCCAACGTTATAAGCGCTAGTACTGATGATGTTCCAATTCACTGGATTACACCTTGAACAAGCGAAATTCCTTTGATGTTGTTGGATAGAGAGTGAATTTACCACATCACAATCGCGCAGCTCTTCTCTTCACTCGTGGAACTAGAGCTCCGCGCCACGAGATTGATCCAAGACCTGTTGCTGATTACCAGCGACGTTGGACGAAAGAGACGATCTGGATAGAAATTAATATCAATATGCTTGTCACTTCTGGATCATTGTTCCGTACTTACCCAGTGATAACATTGACCTTTTCTACCACAGGGTATGACCAAGATCCATCGCTTAAGGCACTTGTGGGTGCATAAAATCTCACTTGAAAGTTTAGTATCAGCCTTGCAACTCGTAGAAACCAAGTTGAGATTGACTCACGCGCAAGATAAACCACGCCCCCACCTGCCGGTCCCGGCAGCCAGCTATAGAGTGGAAAGAAAAGTCAGCGGGGAGTCTTTTTGAAACCGACGGGCCATATTCATTTGTGGTTGCCACTTACTTGGAAGTCCAGTTACTGGGGATCTTATGAAATGGTGACTGAACGAGGATCTGGAATTTCCCATCTTTCGTATCGCTTCCACCATAAACCGGGGTACCATCGGGATATGTAAGCTTGGAGCTACTTCCGAGCGAAAATTGATTCAGTGGGTTTGCAATCAAATCAAAATTGAAGCCATAGGTGGTCAAGCTCCAGAAACCGGACGCCCCTTTGGGAGGCTTGCTACTAAAGGTCAATAGATATGCCTGGTACAGCCCCAGACTCAAATCCTTGTTTCCATCAGAGTATACAGGGTATAACGCCTGCTTCGTGTCCATGGCCAGATAGTTTGAATGAGCAAAATAAGCCCTGATAACGTAGTTACTGGCATACTTTCCCTGCATTTGAGACTGGAATATTTGCCATCCGTTTTTCAAATCGATGAGTTTCTGGGAATTTTGAGCCAACTTTTCCATGGTCGCATTGGCTTGTTCAGCCATGGTTGGGAGATCAACTTGGTTTCCCTTGTTAAACTGCCCATGGCTGCACCCAGCGAGTCTTAACACTGAACTGACCCATGCAACATCACTGGCCTGGTTGGGAGGGTTGAAAGATGAAAGCCTGCAAGTCAACTGTAGACTTGCCAAGTTGGGATCTCCAGATAGGCCACTGTTCAATAACTCAACGCTCAGAGTGGGCGCAACTTGGATATTACCCAACGCCGGTTTGGTCACCACCATCTTGTCCTGTAGCTGATGAATGGCGTCCACGTCAGACCCATTATCCTTGAGCTGCAATCGAGCCACCAAAACTCCATATGGAGTTGGGGAGTAGACCCATCCCTTGTAACCATCGAGCACTCCACCAGGTCCAGTACCTGGGTTAGCGGGCCGGTAGGCCACCCGGTATTTCCCCGCAGAAGAGCCCCCGACAACCCCGAGATTTGCATAGTTGTCTCCGTAGCTATATCACCGATCCAATATCATTCATAGTTAGCCTCGTTTGCTTCTACTCGTGCAAAAAGGGGAACGGCATCAACCTACACATCATAGAATGAGAAAACCCAGAACCGGTCCGACATGGAAGGAATATCAACGATAATGTCGGTGGCGGCAAGATCAATGATCACGGTGGAAGAGAGGGTATCCACAGGGGGGAAATCTGCAAGTTTTTTGTCTGGGATCGGAAGGTCTCTCGTATGTTGAAATTTGTTTGATACCCCATCACGGAGAATAGGCACCGCAAGCTGCGCATACGGAACTAGTGGGTAGCCATACTTGTTCGCCCTCTGGTTAGTTTCACGAAGCTATAACCCATAGACCATTGAGGCTTGAACTGTGAAGTTGACATACCAATAAAGCGAATTGTGTTGCTTGTTCTTGGCTGGAACTCGCCTGTGCATCAAGACTGGCTGATGCCAAGATGGCCAAACCAAGGGTAGACAAGAGTAAAAAGTGCATTATGAAGATAACTCAAAGGAAGAGCTTAAACTTCCTGTCTTAATTACACCTGGAGAGCTCATTCTCCCTTTATATGTTACCCATCCGCTAAAACAGCTCAAACAGCGGAGGAATCAGGGATAATCTACTGCAAAGTCCAGTCCCCTAATGATCAGCCTGTAAAATGGCATCGGACTTCCGACAAACCCGATACCCTCGACTCTTGGACTGTTATGATTGTGGCGTTAAGTAAGTTCCTGCAGCTTTTTGTCACAGATGTGCATATATGCATGCACGTTGGGAACACGATGCGCAAGAAAGGACTTTCTGTTTGTCTATTTAACATTTGAAGTATTCCAAATTTCTCGGTCACTGCAATATATTAATTGAGGTCTTCGCGGCGACCGCCGTATGTGATATACCGAAATTTGTCGAGATTAAGGGCATTTGCAATATCTTGGCGTTCTTAGACTAGCTGAATATATTGCACTGCATGCACTGATTTCGCCACTATGGTCGTCAAACTACACCACACCTTTGGACGGTAGTCGCATATTCTTCTTGGCGGTAAGGAGACGTAGACTCTACATTTATTAATGTTACACGTATGGGCAATCATAGCTCGTTAATGAAACTCGCTAAATATTCATCCACTTATTGAAACTGCTGCTAGGTTGGTCAGCATGGGGGACGGGAGCAAGTATATTCATTTATCTGTGCGCTAAAAGAATTCGCGCAAAAGATCTGCAGTTCTCACTATATATTGTTGGAATAAAGGGTGGATCAATCTGCGGAATACAGGTCGAATTACCACTCCGAATATCGGATATCCTCGATACTGAGAAAGCACCTAATTTGTAGCCGTGCCAAGCCTAATGCTAGTCTAATGCAAAATTTTCTCCCGGGGGAGATGGAAAGACGGATGTATCAAAGATCCGAAGCTCACCGCTTTCTTGTTTCAATTAGGCTTTCGAGGTCAAGGATAACCTCCGGATTCACAAGATAAATTCCACGAGATCTAAAAGTTGGCCGGATAGTTATTTGGGTAAATGTCTGGTTTCGTACATCCAAGACTTCTTCCGCGGGATCACCGAGCTCTGAAACAAGACTTTTACACACAGTGAACGACGAAACCCGTGTTCAAAAAGACCTGAATTTGGCATTTTTAATCCATCTGTCCAATTAAACCTCTGATAGATGCCCTTCCTCCATGCCTAATATATGAATAATACGATTCTCCGCTAAATACCGTCCAAAAACAAGAGAAAAGCGCACGGTAATTCGAACGATTCATGGGAGAAATCAAGAAAGAGCTTGGGGAAGCTAAGGCAGAGAAATTGAAATGGTGTCTTTCTAGTGGTGATCGGCTTCATGCGCTGCTCCATGAATATTGCGATGACTTCGCACATCTTAAATCACCAAACCGCTTCGAAGTGGTGGGTTAATGTCAGTTGAAAATACCACTAGAACCCTTCAGGACAAGATTATTCAGCATGTACTCGATCTACCGCCCGCCTACTTGTTTGTTCCTCACAGGTAACTCAACCTTAGTTCTCGAACCAGACATCAATCAACCATACTATCTATTGAACGTGCCTAGTACAAGTCCTACGGATTTCCTCAAATATTAGAACAGCCATAGCGAATGTTCTAAGAACAGTCCGTGTGATAGCTTCGAAAAAAATAACTACCTGGGACATACAGCTACATGCATCGATCTAGATTCTGGCAGGAGAAGGTGCGATTATTTGTCAGGTTTCATTGTGTAGTTAATGGAGAGCACGGGCATTTGGGAAGAAATAAATGCTATATAATTTGGGCGTATCACCAGGCATTTGGACGCGATATTTCAAACACACCACCCTCAGTAACTTTACGTCACCTTGTCGATCGCCAACCCCACTCATTGCTCATCATGACACAGTCCGGCGTGAAGGACCAAACATCATTTTATAAAATCGGACGAAGATAGCCACATAATATTGAGGAATTCGAGATAAATAATAGTTATGCGGCGGACAGAGTTGCACACAGCTCCAACTTGGGTGGTTTCGGGATATTGCTTAGAATTTGGGGCGATCTCTCGGCAACGCTCACATGGGACGGGACGGGACGGTCGTTCATTCGATTCCCGCAAGCCTGTGGGGTAAATGCATGCCTCGCATCTACAAGCGTTGATCTCTTGCTGACTAATAGGTTGGTTTACTCTCGGTGGCCCATTGGTAAGTTGCATCCCCGCAACTGACCGGACTGTTTACCTGTAACACGTAGCGCTGGAACCAATATATAGTGCAAACATTAGTCTCAAAATGCCAAGATAATGCAAATGCCCTTAATATCAACAATTTGGAATGCTTCGAATGCTGGACAGCGAATAGAAAGTACTCATTATGCAATATGTTAACACGGTAATATACCTAATAACCCCAATAATAGCAAGCCAACAGTCGAGCGATCGGACTTTTCGGAAGACCGATACTATTTTACAGACCAATCATTATTTTGATCTATGGGACTAGCGACACGGTGGATGATCACGTCGTATTTTGGATCATTACCTTCAGCTCAGCCATTGGGTCTGCGCTTGGGACGTATGCACGGGAACTACTAATGAGTGGAGCTCTCGGCCTAATGCGTATTTGGCAGACTCATTTCCGTAATCAAATAAATGCGAGACTCGGCTTGCAATGGATTGTGTCCCCAGTACAGAAATATGGAGATTGATGTATACTTACCCGTTGCGCCTGATTTGATCATTGTGCTGCAATTAGATAATTCAAATTGATAACTAACTAGATCATCTTCGCAGACATAGCGGTTGCGTAATCACTCAATTGAAATGTAAAATACAGTTACATACGGACTTCCAACCTTAGCGACTACACTATTATTATGTCGTGTGATAGATTAGAAAAGCAATGGCTACCTGAGACATACAGCTGCAAGGATGAATCCACATTTTGGATGGGGAAAGGGTGATTCTGTGTCAAGGTTCGTTGTGTAATTGCATTGTGCAATTGAGGGGACGCGCACAGGCGTCCGGGAAGGAAAAGCTTATGTTGGAATGCTATATAATTGACGCCAATCCCCAGATATTCGAACTCGAAACTAGAACACATACTCCCCCGTTAGCTTTACATCACTTTATCAACTAGTAACCCCACTTTCATTGGTAATCATGGCTATCAAATAGCCCCGTATCGAAGACAGCAACCTTGACTTTGAATTTGCGGCCCGAGGACTTGTGCGAACAGAACGTGATTCTTACATCTTGTCAGACACCACCAATCAAATTGTCTGGGATACCGAGGCTTACGCATTCCTCGAGGAAGAAACCCCAGAGACAGCAAATGCGTCGTTATGGAGGCAAGGGCAGCTCTGCAGTGTGACCGCGGGCCTCTATCACGTCACTGAAGGTGTTTATCAAATCCGTGGCTTTGATCTTGCAAAGATGAGCATTGTCAAAATTCCAAACTCAAATGGAATAACCATCATCGACTGCTTGACCTCAGACCGCACGTAGAGCTATTCAGCTCTACCAGGCTGAACATAGAGACAGGTATGGCCAAGACGCGGAAATCAAGGCCCTCTTCTATACACATTGCCATGCAGACCATTTTGGTGGCGCTCAGGCCATCATCGACATCGCAACAAAAGCCGGAACTGCTCTTCAAATAATAGGTCCCGACGGCTTCCTGGAACACGCTGTCAGTGAGAACGTGTATGCCGGACCGGCAATGGTTCGCCGATCTATCTACATGTACGGAGAGGCCTTGGAAAAATCTCCTGTTGGGCAGATCGGCTGCGGACTCGGGCAAGCTTTGTCGACTGGAACCAGCTCGCTTGTGGCGCCCCTACAGAACATCACCAAGAATGGGTTTCTCGCCCCAGGCATTGAGGGTCTGCAGATTATCTGCCAATTGACTCCGGGAACCGAAGCCCCTGCAGAAGTAAACTTTTACTTCCCTGACTACAGAGCGCTGTGCATGGCGGAGAATGCGACCCATACCTTGCACAATATCCAAACGCTGCGAGGTGCTCCAGTTCGTGACGCACGACTCTGGTCACGATATATGGATGAGTCGATTACCCTGTTCGGTGACAAAAGTGATGTGGTGTTCTATAGCCACCACTGGCCGACCTGGAACCAAGATGGAAAGCTGGTGGTCAAGTTTCTATCCGAACAACGTGATTATTACGCCTACCTGCACAATGAGACACTTCGACAGCTCAATGACGGCAAGACACCAGTCGAAATTGCGGAAGAGATCCAGATGCCTCCAACTCTGAGTGCGCGGACAAACCTCCGTGGCTACTATGGCTCAATCAGTCACAATGTAAAAGGAGTCTCTGACCACTACATGGGTTGGTTCGATGGAAACCCTGCTTATCTGTGTCCACTCACTCCCGTTGATGAAGCAACCGAACTTGTCAAATGCATGGGTGGCAGCGAAGCTGTGCTTGAAAAGGCCCAGGTTTATCACACTAACAAGAATTTGCGATTCGCCGCTACATTGTTGGACAAGCTTGTTTTTGCAACCCAAAGCTGTCCTGACGAAAAGAATAGCGAGGTTGCCAAGGAGGCAAAGCAGGAGCTGGCGGCTGTGTATACCGAGCTGGGATACAGCACGGAAAATGGAACGTGGCGCAATTTCTTCCTCACCGGAGCCTTCGAGCTGCAAAATGGGCCCCAATCGGCGATCAACGCAATGACACCTCAGTCGTTGTTGGCTCTAGGCTTTGACCAGCTATTCGATATTATCGCTATCCGTATCAATGGACCAGAAGCGTTCAAGCAACCCACGAAATATCTCGAAAAGGAAATCACCATTGATTTTATGGTCGAGGACGTGGAACAACTCGAAAAGCCAGGTGCTGGATGGCACCTGAGACTCAGCAATGCTGCCCTGACGGGGCATGCCGTTCCATATACGGCATCTCCGAACCCTCGAAGCGCCGGAATTGCTCTGAGTGTCTGGCTCAAGCACCAGGAACTCGTGGCCCTCATCGGAGCTGCAGCTGCTGGCAAGACCTCGAATCTCGACAAGCTCATAATTTCCGGGAACGTGGACGCTTGGACCGATATCACGTCCCTGGTCACTGTGCCGAACCCTGCATTCAACATTGTAACGCCTTAGCTTATCTGGGAATAAAGCATATTTAAACCTGTCCTTTATTATGAGGGATAGTAAACCATCTGCTCAATGGTAACAGAGAATGCAAATATCCGGTTTTCTAGTTAGCATTCTAAACTGATCTAACCTGGTCCACTGTCTTTTTCTTTTCAAGTCCGTATATGTATTTACTTTCAGGGGAAGACATACCTGTGGACATTTACCATTTTGTCTCCACCGTCGGACCGGAGAGATTTGAGCTGTAAGTCAACGCGAACAAACGAACAGAACGTGGCTTTACTCATGGCATGGGATGATAGTCTGTAGATCGCGTCCTCAATATGTAAACTGTAAGTAGTTAATAACTTGCGTAATTGAAAGTTATATTGTAAGAATATTCTAGATTGCAAAGAGATGAGACTACTGTAATTTACGCCACCTCATCGCAGGTACATCAACAGATGCAAGGCTGGCGGATTATCCTAATTCAGACTAGTGCACAATGGGTGGGGCCTCGGGAAACAGAGACAGATTGGAGATAAAAACTGATTTCGAATATTACCGTGTTGTTCGGCAGCAGGGCAGTGATTTACGCCCTGTAACCTGCAGAAAAGTGGAACTGATACAGAAGTGCGGAATTGGTTCCTCCGCATCTTCTGGGGTTCTCGGGTTCGAATCCCAGTGCCGGCAACGCCAAAACCTATCATTACGTCTCCGTGGGGAGACACTATCGCAGTACCCCAGCCTTTTCACAGGTTAAAGTGGAAACAAACACAGGCCACGGCGAGGCTCTAAATTCGTATAAGAAGTGCTACATTCTCATGCAAGACACATGTATTTACACCATAGTGGTAGGCTGCATATCCCCCAAAGCGAGGTCGGCGTAAATGGAATCATTCATCCATTCATCCATCCATCCATACTGTAAGGAGTGGGCAGTTTGAAAAATTCCAAAACAAGAATGGGTTCATCTACCGGGAGCGAAAGGAACATCTGACGGAAAAGTAGCCAAGCCAGGAACTTCGGAATTATACCCAGCTAGATTTATTCAGTCGTCGACAGCAATGATGATGACTAAATCGAATTCCTAGAAGGAGAGCTATTAACGTATTTCACATGCGAGCTGGCCACCCTAAAACACCATAGTAAATGCGATAAATTACAACTTGATATCTCAACAACGGTGGTCTATAGAGACTTGTCCTTCTAGCGTCCTGCTTTCTGGGTGATACCTAGCTTCTTGGGGGAGTTTAAGGAAAGTTCATGACCTGATGATTGCGATATATATATATCTTGTTTGTAAGACCGTACTTTTCGGTAATTTTTGAAATTATGATAATATTGCGTCCTACTTCCTCTAAGATTGATGTGTAGTGCTAATAAGGCTTATCAATGACTATCGACAAATAAGGAGATATAAATGGAAGATATATCGCATTTACTATGGTGTTTTGGGGTGGCCAGCTCGCATGTGAAATACATTATCTTCTAGCTGAAACCGATCCGCCTAAGTGTTTAGTCAGTGTTTCATGCGCATGCCTCCTTAAGCCTATTTCATGTTCCACTGGCTTGTTGAACACTAAGATGCTCCGATAATCAGTGATTTTGAACTGGGTTTGGTTAATAGGAGTCCTAGGAAAGCTAGGATACTCGAAGCTACGGAGACTTTTCTCGTAGCACATACTAGCTGAGAACTCAGGAACGTTCAAAATTCCGATTCTCGAATTTATATGCCCAAGCAAACATCTGCTCCGCATACCTTGCGATATTTCTGACTTCTTTCCTAATTAGTCTTGCGCCGATCATTTTTCTGTCGAATTGATTTCTTCTCCAAGCCGGAGACTGTAGAGCGTCTGCAAGATCTGTTAGCCATTATAATAAAACTTAAGAGCTCGAACAAGTATTAGTGGGTAATAAGGCCGAGATCATAAATTCATAGAGAGTGAATCGTTGATAAGTGACAAAAGCTATAACGGGGAAGTGAGCATCTGTACCTTCGATTGTCAAAACCGTGGCCGTTATGTTTCGGGTACGAACGGTAACACTATGATATAAGCCTGGCTAGACTCCTTGCAACGTACCACGACAAAGAGAGATGGGCTCAAGGTCCCCACAAATTCTCGTGAGCATCATACTTTGGATAAACCCGGTAGGTATTAACTTTTGTTGTGCGACACTGTTTTGGCTCGCAGCCACCCCCAACCTGCAAAGGCCTGCAACACCTTTTTGGTTAACCCAATGATCGCTGGTTTAATTTAAGGGCCACCTTCTGTGCAAGCTCCCCCTCGCTAAGGTTATAAGCCATCAGTATTTCGGTCTGCGCAGTAATATTTCCTGGGCTCTAGTGGAAATATATCACTGGCAGCTTCTCTTCCTACCCTGTTCGAGGTCCCACTGCCCCCCCCCCCCCAAGTTTAGGTGCGCAACCCGACCGCAGTGACCAATTTGGTATGAACCACGGGTTCTTGGGTTCGTTAGGGGTCTCTCATCCCCGTCTAGAGTGAATTCTCGAGCTAGCGGATTATGCGAATATTAGTTGGACAAATCTCACCGGTGGTGGTGGCGGATGTGCCATCACGCTTTACCGACAAGATATCGAAGGTCAAATCATTGAAGAACGGGAGCAGAAGTTCACTACAGAAGCATTTCAAATATATGAGACTATCCTAGGTGCCGACGGAGTTGGGGTGCTTTGGCCTGAAGTATTCCGAAATGGCTTTGATGGTCCAAATTCTGCTGGATCAAGATGTTGATTCGATCACCCAGGATGGATCCTATGGCGATTAACCTTGGGCTTGCAACTTTCCTGCCAACCTGAGCTTTTACGCTTTCCTTGGGGTTGCAGGGCCATATCATTATCCCTACATTTTCAGCTGGCTTGTCCGTATGCTTCGTGTAGCAGGGATTGCTTTGGTGATGACGTGTGCATTATCCGGGTGATTTGTGTCAGAACGAAAGATCGTACCTTGATTGGGTGTATTTCTTTCTGTCAAGCCAAGAAATGAATTGAAACAGGGAGCCGTGGTAATATTTTGGCCGTGGTGATCGTGGAGGAAATCCCTTGGGGGTGGCCGGAGAGCCGGGCCGGTGGGACGAGGCGGAGCTCGCCCTAGAGGTGGTTTCAGGGGTCCCAAGTCTACTGATGACGTGCCAATTTCTCGGGCTATGGGCGTCATGGCGAGTTTCTCAGAAAGATACCTAGAAACGACTGCGCAATTATTTTGCGGAAGGTAGGTGGCATTGTATCATTATACCGAATCGCCCAAAACTGTGGTAGGGACAGCGGATCTTCCAAATATTAAAACACGAATTGGGATAAGAGCTGCCGAGCTTGCCAGCACGTTCACCCGTGGACCAGCTAAGTTACATTTCCCACTCCTGCATCCACTTCAACATCCATTCCTCCTGAATCGGTTCCATCGAAGCTAAACTGTTGCTTGCAGCTAGGGCCCGCCCTATTTCCGGAGTTGCGGCTTCCTCCCTTTCCCCAAGGACCCGGAAAAGTTCCAAGAAGTAACTTGCGGGGTTCTGAGCAGTACTGCTGTGCGTTCCATGGGATGTTGATTTCTCTAACGCATTGACCCAAGTGTCGAAAGGCACAGTCTGAACAGAAACCTGTTTCCGGTTCAGATAAGCGATGATAGCTGGAAGAAGGGTATTCCATTGGGCGGACCGCGGGTTCACGACGTTGTAAACTGTCGGAAGAGGAGGAGAGGTGATTTGGGCGCTGTCCATCAACTCCATAACGATTTGCGCAAAGATATCCACAGGAACCCAATCGATAGTACCGGCTCCCTTCATCGTCTCAGGCAAGAGACCTAAATACTGTCCGCTGGCAATTATGCTGGGAAACCATTCGGTTCTATTCCACATGCCTTTCCTATGCACTGGTCCAGTAAATTGCCCGGCCCGAATCACGTATGTCAAGACTCCACAACGCTTGCTTGCAATACTTAACAATTGCTCCGCAACCAGCTTCGATTCACCGTAGCCCAAGGGAACTGCTGCATTGTAATCATCTATGATCTCTTCCGGGATGAATCCTGGCTGGTGCCTTTGCCAGTCAACAACAGCTGTGAGGCTGGATAGAAAATATATACGCGGCGTCTTGGGCGATGAGATACTGAATTCGATAACGTTTCGCACACCGCAAAGATGGTCACGCTCAAATGCTTCGACAGCGGAAACGAAATCGAGTTTCCATGCAGCGTGGATCACGTGCGTTACCGACGATAGCAACCACCTGTAGGTTTCTGGAGCAAGGCCTAGGTCATGAGTACCCAGCTTGGCTTGGAAAAACTGCACTTGATCGGGGGTGAAATTGGTGGGAAGGCCACGCAAAGCATTCGCCTGGATCTGTCGTTCCCTGCTGTTGATCGACCGGTTGAGGCAGATAATTTTGATGACATTGCGATGCTGGAGCAGACACTCCAGCAGATATGAACCCGCTGAACCAGTGGATCCGATGAGCATCACAGTCCATTTATCATCTTCTACCGGTGGGTGCCTTGCAGGCTGAAGACCACGGGAGTACTGCTCAACCAACGCACGCATTCTTCGTACTCGGTCCGGTTCCTTCGAGCCTTTTGTCCCCTTTTGGTTATCCCGAGGGATCGAATTCTCCGAAACGTCTCGTCTTCCATCGCTCAGAGAATCCGCCGAACGACTTTCCGGGTTGTTCATCTCGCGAACCGCTGGACCAAGAAGCTCGGATTTGGTCGCGATCCGATGGGACAAGGCGGCAATAGAGGCTTTTCCAAGGATCTCAAAGAGCGGTATATCAGCTTTGATCTCATGTAAAATCCAATTGCGTAGCTCAACGCCGATGAGTGAGTCAACACCCAGGGTGGCAGTGGTATGATTTGGACTGATGCTGTCCTTTGGGATCATCAATAGTCGAGACAATTTGTCCATAATTGCTTCTTGTAGAATCAAAGTCCCTTCCTCTAGGGTTTGGGCCTTCTTAAGCCTGTCACGGAGCACTTGGGCCAGATCTTCACCACCTCGAAGCTTCACCACTGACC